GTTCCGTGGGAATATACGCGATAATGGAAGGCAGAGGCGCTCGACGAAATTAATTTGACGGGATTCGACGCTGTCACGCGGGGGAAGTAAACGAGGAAACGCGTGCAAATGTAGCGCGGGAGGCGCAACGATTATGCACTCGTGCATTCGTTAAGCCCACTTTATTTAATGATTTCGTGTTCGAATATAGTTACCGAATAACCGCCTACTCGTGATTCCCGACGCTCGTAATAAAGACGATAAATGCATCTGCGCGCGCAAACGGTCCCATTCTCTTCCTTATCTCTTTCGCTCCACGTCCAACTCGCGATGCCACGCTATGCGACGCCTTCCACGCTCCATCCTATCCACCGATCCAATCGACCTATTTCCTCTCTCCCGCCAATCCTTTCCTCGTTTATCGTTTATCGAGAAAGCAAAAGGTCTATCCTGTCGACTTTGTTAACGTCGTCGTCGTCGTCGTCGTCGTCGTCGTCATGGTCGTGGTGCACGTTAAACGAAGCAACGATCGTTAAGGAGAATCGAGTAGACCGGATTCTCGCAAATACATCCGAAATTTTCCGCCTTCCTTTTTCCTTTCTCTTTCCACTCATTTTTTTCTTCTCTTTTCCTTTTCTTCCCTCGACGATTTTCCACGCTCCTTGGCACGCACATTATTATCACGCTACTAAACGAGTTTTAGCACGCTAACGAGCTCCGACCACGACGAACCCGCTTTCGATAAACACCGAACACGGTTTCTCGCAAGATCGATATCCGGTTAACGATGTCTCTCGTCCAACGGCCGAGAGAGAGACTCGGGAAAAGTAATTAATCGTAAGATCGGATCGAATGGAATCCGAACGAGAAACGCCACGCTTCGGTGTAATTTTATCGCGTGGAAAAACGGACGGAAAAACGGGCGGAAAAACGGGCGGAAAAACGGGTATAACCGTGGCCTAGGGCTACGGCTCGCGTTTAGTTGTACCTGGTCGGTTAAACGGTTCCGGCCTACCGTCCCGTAAATCCCATAAATATCGTACTCGGGACGGTTAGGTTAGGTTCGCGAGACGGGAAAACCAGAGTTGGAAATCGGCCCGAAACTCGGGCTTCGAAAAATCAACCTTCTCCCTCTCGTTGCCTCGCACAACTGTCAAATCTATCCCCCAGAAATCATGGACGTTCGACACGGGTCGAGCTCGCTCCAAAAATATCCGGTTGCAGTCCGCTGCAAACTACATGTGTACAAATACGCTGCTGTACCATCCGAGCAGCCAAGAGTAAAGGCAAAAGGTATAGGAAAGGGAAAGGGAAAGGGAAAGGGAAAGGGAAAGGAAATGCGCGAGAGACACGAAGAAGGGTCGGTGACGGCGAGGGATTACGGAAGGGATCTCGGAGGTGGCCACACCGATGGCAGAGGTGTCAACGATGCAAACATTAGCATACGATGCATGTTTTTGCGTAGAAAGGGAAGTAGCAGGCGCGGATCGAGGTTGGAAAATTGGAAGAGTGCAAGAGTGGAGAAGAGTGGGAAAGCTGTTACAGCGCTCGGTTCGTTGGGACCGATGAAAACGCGAGATGCGTGGATGTAGCGACGACTAGACAAACCTACGCGTACAAGCGAACCTACGTGATCTCGCGATACGCTCTTTTCGCTGAAAAGTTTCCCCTCTATTTCCCTTCTATTTCCCTTCTATTTCCCTGGCGCAGATATCGGTCGGCACTCGGCGTTCTCTCCGTTTTGCCAGCTGCGCGCGGCCCACATTTCCCAGTGCATCCGAGTAATCCGAGAAGCGAAACGAAAATCGGCCCAAGCTGCGTCGTCCTCTCGACGACGATCAACTTACCGATCTCGTTCCACTACCGTAACCGCCATTCGCAGCACGTGTCTCTTCCTTTCCGACTACGCATCGCTCGCCCTTTATCGCGCTAATGCCTCCAGATCTAATCAACGTCGACCTTAATCGCGCGGTTCTTCCGTACGTAGCTACGACAACCTGCAATTCGTACGGGGATCGATATTGCGCAACGGGAGAGGAGCCTTGACCGCCGATTTTCCATTCCTACCCTTCCACCCGACCCGGTGCTCGGCAACGCTGCCAATTATCCACATTTCCAAAGGGATGGACAATCGCTACCGGTATCGGTAGCGTTATCGACGCTAATGGCGGTGCAGCAGGTGGTAGTGGCGGTGGTAGCAGTGATGGCGATGGTACTTGCCGCTACTGGTAGCCGTTTAATTAAAACGTCCCGACGAACTTACCGTGCGAACGCGAACGTATCGCGCGCGTATTCAGAGCAGATCGATAAAAGTACACATACGGTCAAACTGCATCCCGTATCAATTTATCGAATAACGACTATGTTTGCGTGCCATGTTGTAAACAGTGTTTGCGAATGGCCGCAAAATGAAAAGAGCGAATACTTGATCGGCGACGATGATTCGATGAGTTTCGCCGTCTATTTTATTCCTTTCCGATACACGACCGCGCAACAGCCGCCAGACCTCTTTTCATCCCGACCCGCGTGTATCCGTGTCGTTACGAATACTACAACTCGTCTACATCGCGCGAATATACATATATATATATATATATATACACACATACGTATTGCCACGCTCCGCGCGTGGCTGTATTTCTCAATGGCGAAGAATGGAGGAAATCCTTTCGATAACGTCTTTCGAGGCGAGACGAAAGACAGCCGACCAAGAGGAGAGGTCGTTGACCGATAATCGTGGAATCTCTCGATACGCTTGGATAAGATCGAACGGACGGACGTGTCACACGGAGAAAAGAAGAAACGACGGAGAAGCGGGGAAAAACGCATAAAGCGAAGGAGGAAAGAACGAAAGCGAAGAGTTGAAACGGAGCGGGGGAGCATTGGTAGGGAGAAGAAAGGGAAAAGGGGGAAAAGGGGGAAAAGGGGGAAGAGAACGGTGACGAGGAAGAAGAGGAGAGTAGGTACGAGGAACTGCCGAGATTCCGACTTTATTGGCGCAAATGGCAATTATCTCGAGTGCGGGGAGTGTTCGAAGGAAAGAATTAAAATATTTCCACCGTTCCCAGCTGTCAAGTAATTTTTGCGATTTCATCCTCTCCTCTCCTCTCCACTCCACGCTCCTCTCCGCTCCTCTCCTCGCCGCTACCCTACTCGCTGCTACTCCGTAACCAACACTTTACGCGTTTCATCGACGCAATCGCGTCGTTACAAGACGATGCTACCTACTGGCAAACTAATTGGAAATCTTGCGAGTATCGCGACGTCGATACAACCCATTCTCGTCATCGCGATCTCTCTTCTATCGCCCATCTCCAAATCCCCGAATAACTCTGAAACGAAACGAAAGGAAAAGATCAAACTTTTCCCATTACTTTCGCCACACGGACTCCGCCACCCGATACAACGCGTCCTTCTTCTCTTTTATTTCCTTATACCGGCAAAACGCTTATTACGCTCTACGATAATCCGTCCACTCTTCCGAGTAGATGGAGAAGGAGGGAGCTCGCCGCGCGATATGCATTTAAATTAAGCTTCGACACCGAGGCGCGATGCGCGCGCCTTCTTCGTTAATGAAATCTATGCAATCGGGACAGAACGAGAGCACGAATACGTCTCCAAACGAAAATAACTCGCGTTCAACGACGCGTCCAGTATCACCGATATCGCCACGATCAAAAAAGACGTACGTGCCTATAGAGTAATTCGCGACAGTGACGAGGCGTAAGTATATGGAAGCTCGGCGTTCCAACTATTCGACGCTCGTTATCATCCCGATATTTCTATCGCGTAACATTCGGCCCGGATGCTCGCAGTTGCTACAAAACCCTCTATTCCGTCCGTCATCGGGCCGAACAGCTGGAAAAATTCGCCACCATTCCCGCAACACCGCCAAACATTCCACAGCGATGCGCGTGTCGTTTCGCGCTTACCGATTCCAACGCCTCTCTGTTCTACTCTGTTCTACTCTGTCCTAAACGCGTTCGCGTCCCTACGAGTAAACGGCATTCCCTTCTAATCCAACCGATACTCCCTCGCTATTTAACCCGCAGCAGCCCGCCACTTATTTAACCTCTCGCTAGCATTCTTACCGCTGCACCGCCAACATATATACGTTCGTCCAATCCGACGGGCAATTCGATTTACGGGCAACGTTTACGGCCAACGACCAGGTTCGCGCGAGAGAAAGGAAAGAAAGAAGGGAAGAAAGAAAGGAAGAAAGAAAGAAAGAAAGCGGAAAATAATACGCAATCCCCTAGATCGCACTGCGAGCGCTAAAATTAAACAGCACGCAAACGAACGTACACGTGTACGGTGGGCCGAGCAACTTCGATATAACCGACATACCTTGGCAAACACACATCCGGTCACTGTGTTCCCTCGAAATTTCTTTATCGCCCAGTTTACCTTGCGTGAACTTGCTTCGCTAGTTCCAACACGATAAGAACGAAAGATAAACACGTCCGGATACGTGTCCGCCATACGTTACCATTTTACGCGCATTTTCTTTTACCTTACGAGATTACTTTCTTCCCGATCGGTCCGGTGATCGGAAACCGACCATAAACGTACCGCGTCCTTTCATCGATTATTATCGATACGCGCTCGAGGAAATGTGCGAGTAGGAAAGGAAACCTTTTTCCTCGCAACTTCTCCAACAACCCTTGCTTTCCTTTATCTTTCCGTACACCACGAATCGTCTTGGCTTCGCGACGATTACAAAAGTTCCTTACCGTTCACGTTTCGTATATTTCGATAACCGAACCATCGTCGTTCCAGCGATATTTTCGTATACACCGTCTACGCGTACGCGTATACCACGTATGTATACGCGTACGCGTACGCGTATCCGTCGGACGATGTGTAACGCGCTTGGAATTCCATGCGTGGAGAAAAAAAGCACGATCGAAATTCGCGAGATAAACGACCAGATAGATCTGCCGCGTATCGGAATAATGGAACACGCGGTAAATGGTACGGTGGATAATAAGCCGTACGAGAATCGAGGGAAAATTGCTTACCTTCAAAATCACGAAATCCATGTTTAACACGGCTGCGGCTGATATCGAGCCCTTGCTAACCACGTTTTTGCCCGTAGAAACGATGCCAGATGCAAACGATGTCGAAGCCAATATATCGGTTAGAACGAGCGTTTGATCGCGTGTTGCCCGTTCTAGACCGGTAAAACGAGCAACTCGAAGAAACAAGTAGAGAGAATCGAAGGAAACGCGAACGAAAGCAATTACGCTGGCAAACCTTCCACTCGACACTTTTCTTTCCACTTATTCGAAACGACGACGTCGACGACGACGACGGCGACGAGCACGACGACGACGACGACGACGACGACGACGACGACGACGACGACGACGACGACGTCGAGGAAATATCGCTGTTGGTGGCACTCACACACGACACGAGGCGGCTAGATCGTCCTCGCTCTCCGATGATCTAGCATCGTCGCTGCACGCCTCCTCGCGGTTCCACACGAGCACAAAAGCAAACAGAGCGATTACTCGCTTCGAACGCGACTTTCGCATTTACGCGTTGACAAAGAGACTCTCGAAAACTCGCAACTGGACGCGAGGAAAAACGAAGAGCGACGAGGCGCGGCGAGACGAGACGAGACGAAGCGCGAGGCGAGGCGAGGCAAAAGAAGGCAAACGACGCAACGTCGTGGTAACACGCGAGAAAAATATTCAGCCAACACGCGTGCCGGCTCGGCGTCGACTGAATTCAACGGCAGTCGCGCGCCACGAGTGGGAGGCGTGTCTCGGGTGTACGATGAAACGAGATAGGGCTATACTATGCCCGCCGGAGAGGGGATGAAGAAAGCGCAAACGAGAGGAAGAATAGTTTTTCGCGCGTTAGACGGAGACGGACAAAAGGATGAGCGACCGGCCGTCGGAGACCATAGTCACATTGGTTGCAACTGTTAGTGGGAGTCGAGCAGCGTACGAGAGGAGCGAGGAGCCGAGTGGAAAGGAGAACGCAGCAAAATGCAACGGAGAGAAAAGGAGAGAAACGATTACAGGAGAAACGAACGCGACGGGATTGAACAGAACGGAATGGAATGGAACGAGATACCTCGGCCCATGGAGACGGACGAATAACGCAAAGAGCAAAACAGAGTTACACAAATGCTGATTATCCAAAACTACCGCGTTTGCAACGCTACCGTTGCGATAGCGCAGGTATGCGCAAACAGCCGATAACCCTTCCTTCCAGCCATACCTATCCTCCTTTCTGTATTATACTATACTCGGCTATACGTTTTCGTTCCATTTCGTCGCGTCTATTCCATCTGGCGCGATTCCTTCCTTCTTTCTTTCTTTCTTTCTTTCTTTCCCCCTAAGCAACTTGGAATTTCGATTCCAACTCTTCCGCCATCGAGGCTCAACTTCCGTTACTTTCCGTTCCCTGTAACTAGAAACGCGAAACTTTGCCCACGTCGCCGGGTCATCCAAGCCAGAGCTCATATTCCAGATAAAAGTCGAAACTTCTATATAATAATCGAGGATTTCGCGCAGATTCTACTTTCTCTCCATTCTTCCTAACTTTCCCTTAAGAAATAATAATCGATCGCAAAAATAAATACGTCACGTGTTCGCGAAAGGGTGATCAAATAGAAAATTCATAATCACGATCTTAATAAGAAAAGTTGTATAAAAAGCGACTGAAAAGTTGCCAAGTTCCCGCCGTCTCGTTTGTAATCCCAACTCTCCAACCCTTCCTCACCGCACTGCTCTCCAAGCCCACTCATAATTACCAAAGTTAATTTGCAAATCGCAATTTAATTGGCCAGTTCTTGAAGGTTCTTTAAACTTTGTCTTTCACGGAGTAGGGTTTTACGATGGTTCGGTTCGGTTCATTCCAGAAAACAACACAGCGAACGCGTAATCGAACATTTCCACTTGTACAATTGAAAGCAAATGCCGTAGAACCCGTAAGGTGAACGAGAGAAAAAAAAAATATACATACATACATATATATATTTTCTTCCTTTTTAAGGAAACTCGTGGCTAAATAATAAAAGGAACGTGCTGCTATATAAAAACAAATACCGTAGATGGATGCAAACATCGAAGATCCTCTCTCGCACTTTTCTCTCGATTTATGCATGCATCTACGTATACATACGTTTTCTTTTATCTCCGCTTCTGTAAGGAGGAAGAGCAACAACGTTTCGAAAGAGGATACCCTCGACTCATTACCAAGCAACCACAAACGGATGTTCATAGATACGTATGCGAGGCAGGGTTAAAGACAGGACAAAAGAAAAAAGAGATGTCAGCTTCCTGAGATTTTACCACTAGCTGTGCTCTTCTTGAAACGAAAGAAAGAAGATTCTGCGTGACGGCGAGCCTTTTAATTAGGCTGTCTGTGATCTGCCAAGCATTTCTCCTTTCCCCTTTTTCTTCTCCTTTTTCTCCTCTCTTCTCTTCGTTTCTACTCCGTCTTCTCTAATTCCTGTCGGTCTCTCGTGCTTCAATGATCGTCACTCGATCACACCTCGCGCGAGCAAACCTCGGAGATACCACCAACATTCCGATTTATCATCTACGCGCGTTCATCGTTCCTTTTACTTATTCCCACCGTTATTCCTCCGTAACGATGGATAATAAGCGAAACGAGTTTGTCGATATCGCGATACACGATCGATGCGACCGTGTGTTTCTCTTTAACGTCGAATACGCGATCTGTCGCGATTCCAGTCTCTCTCTCTCTCTCTCCCGTTTCTGCCTAACTTCAAGGAGAAGAAAGTCACACGTGTAGCATGTATGACTGATGATACGCAATGGCATGTAACGACATCAAAACACTCGTGATTCAAACATTTTGTTCGTAACTGCAGAAACGTGCCCTCTTTCATCGAGGGTGTGCGCAAACGTGAAAGAGGAAAGAGGGCTAAGAGTAGAGCGGAGGGAGGGCAAGACTAGGAGGAAGAGCAGGAACGGAAGGTGGAGAAGGAGGGTGGAAAGAAAGAGAGGCAAGAGGAAGAATCGGTGTTCATCGACAGGAATTCAAAACGTGCAAAAGAGCGAACGCGTGAGCACGTTTGTAGGGAATGGTACGAGGGGTACGATGTTACACGTCCGCGATCTCAATGGGCGTCGGGCCAGGAGAATAAATTAACGAGGTGTTTGTCCGCTATCACCACTCTTTTTCCCAGCCGGATTAAAATCATTCTGTCTTTAATAATTACGTCGACCGAATACGTTAAATGAGGCGCGCGTCGCGACGCATTTACCACGGTCGTTTTTTGATAATGTTATTTACAGCTCTGATTTACAATAGATCACCACCGAACCTCGTCATACACGCGAATTACTCCCTACATTGTACCGTCCCGGAATGAAAGAGATATAAAATGCGACGCTGGAAGCGAAGAGCGCTCACCGAGTACAAAAGAGTATAGAGTTTAAATATAAAAGAAAAGAACGAAATAACGCACTGGATACTGCTTCTTGAATCACTATCGGAAACACTATACCACGCGTATATTCATCCATTTACACTCAACGTATCAACCAATCTTCCGAATTTACAAAACTTAACTAACTTTTTATATTTGTCCGTTTCTAACATTTCATTCGGTCATATTTCGTGCATTTGGATAATATAAACCGATTGTAATTAGCGTTTCAATGCCACCTATGAAATTCTGGAAAACGGGACTTAACGCTGAAATTCAATATTTTGCTTCTAAATAAGTACTATAAAGTACTATAATCAAGTACTATAAAATATACGTTTAGGCCTATATTTCACGTGCACGAATATTTAAATTATCGTAATGAAAAATCTCTGCAACATTTTTTTCTTTTCTTTTTTTTCGAAAATATAAAAGTTACGTTAAAGAAGCTACAGGATATTGTACGAATATGATCATTTTAAGTCGTTTTAAATACGATTAATAAAAGTTCCACGAGGTCGTATCTCACCAACAGTCACGCTCTTCGTGTCATGGTCACGTCTGAATTCGGCTCGATGGTCACTTCGAAATCTTGAAAATATCGTACCAATGACATTGCACAGGGATGAAGGGACGAAAGGTTAAATTATAAATTAATCCTATTATTAGTACTCGTGATCATTTTGTAGGTAACTGAAATTGTAACTGGTGCTTAAAGTCACAACTAAATAAAGCGAAACATATGGTGTTTTATTTATATCTAATAAAGATTCCTCTGTCCTCTATGTAACAGTATATTCAACGTGATAGTACTAATTTAAAGGAAAGAAACGTTGAATTTTAACAAAATTATATTTTCCAAAATTAAACAACTTAGAACTACGAAACTAGTTTTCCGGATGATCCGATAAGTTGAAACAGACGAATATCTTAATCGTACGATCTTATAGGAAAAGTATCATTCTCCCTGCATACAAATTACAAATTCATAGCGCTTTCGAATAGCTCCAACATTCTCTTCATTTCTTTACTAAAAGTTCAGAAAGAAGCAAGATGTTAGTATGAATTACAAATATGTAAGTGTAGAAAAATATTGTAATACTCGCATTTGTTCCGCAAGCTTATATATAGGTCCCATTGATTTCGATAATTCTTCGCATTTTGCCATTAATTGATACATGGATTTAATATTGTGATCCACAGCGTCGCATGTTTTACATACAGCATCCCTGTATGTTTCCAAACAGGCTACAGTGAGTGCGGATGCCTGAAAGTAATTTATGGAAAACCTTTGAAACCTTTCGAAAACCTAATGTTCCAATTTATAGATAAGAAAATGTTTTTCATAAAATAAGAAGGTGTAAATACGACTGAAAGATAATTTACGCTATGTAGAATAGCTGCTAAATTTTCTGTTAACGCGTCCACAGAGGTGGCCACTTTCCTCGCTTCCATCTCTAATTCGTTTAATACGTTATGATCGAGAAGAGGCACTTGAGGTGTCAAGGCTTGCCTGTATAAACACGGTGTAGAACTGCGAGAACCCGGAAAAGATGGAGTTTCTCCCTTTTTTGTCACAGGGCTAGATAACTTAATTTTATTTTCTAAATCTTCCGCAACGAATAATACCATATCACCATCTTGCATTACTGTTCCTTCCAATTGTAAATATCCCATTGCTTTATGATAACTCGGGGGATCTATATCTTCATCCTCGACTGGGCTAGCTTCTCTATTTTTTAAATTCAACTGGTCCGGTCTACTACCAATTCCGTTCATTTTCTCTAAACTGTCTTCCAGGAGTTTTGTTCCATCGATATCTGGGGAATCGATCAACGATCTTAACTCTGATACAGGTGGAGATGATTGCGAATCAAATGATATCTCCGAATACGATGCTGTCATCTCGTGCAACTACAATGGTTACCAATTATGCCTCATAGTATAGCCCTTTTTATAATTAATTGAATCTTATGAACATAAGCCACACAACCTTACGCTAAATTTATTAACTCTAACCTTACTCTGTCTTCATCGTAGTCGATAGTTGTATTCTTTTCGCTGCGTACCGTCATTCCTTGTTTCAAATATGTTTCCCCCTCTTCGGATTCCATATTTAACGTATAATTTATATTTCTACACTTCCGTAATAAGGTACACCTTCTTTTAATATCACTCCAGCCAAGAATGCTAAAATCGATATAACACTGTCTCACAATTATTGATCCTTAAACGACATTTCCATTAGATCAACATTTTCTCTAAAATAAATTTACTATCAGGAAAACAAACAATTCAAATTAAAAAGTAATTACACAACTGCCCCTTCTTTTCAATTTTTAATTTTCAATATTTTTATACTTTAAAACATCTGGTTACAGTATGATACGATATATCGATCCTTTCTAGCAATGAAAACTCCCCTGCAGACGAGAAATACTTCATATCTTATCCGTTGCTAACTAACGCGTCCATTTATCCTATGAATTTTCCGGTTAGTTAACTTGTAACTACATATACGTTATACGTCGTCTTTCGTACCTGTTGAATTTTCCATGTCGTTAGACAGTAAAAAGTTAATAAATATTTAATAGCATTTCGCATAACGTGACGTATTATTTCATGTTCATCCTCTTTTCATCGATATACGCCGGAAGGCGTGGTAAATCGAATATGATTTATACGATACAGTAAAAGTCATGTAATTCTTATTCATTTCAACGTTTCTTTATTATCCTTTGCAACGACAAATATAAAATGTTCAATATTTACTTTACAGTGGAAGCGATATTATAGATACATTGAAAGTATTCCATACTTACTCGGTATAATGCATTCTGAAATATCACTGTTATTTTCTATCTTTATCAGTTTTATAAAATTTGCATCGTCGCAAAATGACTTTTTCGATGAAGAATTAATGTTAAAACCATTACCGAGTAATCATGTTTACGCATACTTCCAATTTACTACTGTATGGGAAACCACGAAAGACATAAATACATGTAAGTATAAAATTATATTTTACTAACAGAAAGGTATTTCTTCTTCTCATCTTGAAATTATCTTTTTATGCAAAACCGAGTTAATATTTCAGTTCAACATTCTCATTTATTTCCAAGAGGACTCGGTGAAATTATAAGTCGTCACAATGTAGATGAATTACACCTTACATTGACCAGAGGATTATGGAATTACCAAAAATGGGGATATCCTTATCATGATGCTGGTCCCGGTGCTGAGATATCTACATGGTTCCATAAGGATGTCGATAAGTGAAGTACCAGTCTAAACTCGACAAATGTAACGTATTACTTTATAGATTGTATCAATAATTTAAATGATAAAATTATTTCATGTTCTCACAGCGTTGATGATGAATGGAAAGGTTTAACGAATGCCTTGGCTGGCTTATTTTGTGCCTCTTTAAATTTTGTTAATCCTGCGAATAGTATGTCTCCAGAATTCACATTCCGACCTACAGGTGTGATAGATCACAATGTTAGTTCTAGTCATTTACGTTATTCGTCGTTACCGAGGGAAATAGTTTGTACCGAAAATTTAACTCCGTTTAAGAAACTGTTGCCATGTAACTCTAAGGTATGAATGAAAATATGAAAAAGTTTTGCACTTATCTTATATAGCAAATACTGACATATATATGATGCTTTAATAGAAAGGTTTGTCAACCTTATTAAATTCTGCTTATATTCACAATACAAATTACCATTCCATTGGAATACATTTTCGAGTTATATGCTCTAACACAATGTGTACTAAAACTTCGCTGGAATTACGTCAATCTGTCTCATTGATATATGACACTATGACAGATGTATCACAGGTAAATTTTCAGCAAAGTTTTCCAAAGTATGAGAAATTCTTGGTACTCGCATGGGCTTTTTACACAGGATTGGTCAATTCGAAAATTTTTTGGACTGGGTATCAAAGAAGCATGTCCTCTTGCTACGTTAAGCAATGTATATATTGATATATCTAGTAACGTTACAAATCAAATCTATGAATTAGTACCTTCGCCAACTGCAAAAATCGTTAGTCTCCGAGGAGGACAATTAAACGAAATAGCAGTTTACGACATTAGATCACATTCCATAACAGGAATATTTAATATTGGAGTTGTATATAACACTAAACCTACAGCTGGTTTAAATTATCCTTCAGTTTTGTACGCAAATAGATATGTCATTGGTTTGTAAATTACAATACTTAAATTACAATAGATATATGGAAGATAATACCAGAAGAGAAAAAAAAAAAAGGAATAATTCTTCTATACAGGATATGGGCAGGAAAGGGGTAGTTTAGTAACAAAAATTTACAATAATTACTGGAAAACGCTCGACATTGTTTTATTAGAAAGTATACCATGGTATTTACTAGTATATTTACATTCTGTCACAATAACTTGTGGATCAAAAAATATTATACCATGTGAGTAATTGTATTCACATTATGGAGGATACTAATTTTTCATATCAATCGTTCGTGATTCTTTAGTTTCAGCATATTGTTCTTCGTTGTTTTAATCCATTAATATCTCGTGTTACAGTGGCACAGCGTTATCTACCAGGCAAGGAAAGAAAAAGCCCATATTATTTGGAATTAATTTTACGCCTACCGCCACACTCAGTAACTAAATTCTCTATAGAAATGGATTATTCGTTTCTTAAGTGGCAAGAATACCCACCAGATGCCAATCACGGATTTTACATGGGTCCTGCTATTATCACTGCATTACTTCCAATTGCAAGGAATTATACCGCATTGCCACTCGATGGAAGTACCATTACGTCAAGGTTAACGCTGGCTACATTAATTGTTAACATAACGTAACGTATACGTATAACATACAATGTTTAATATTTGCTAAAGGCGCAATTAAATTTTCAGTTTTAACGCTTCGAGAGAAGGATACATTGTACAAATGAGAACTGAATCTTTATTAATTAGTCTACCTACGCCTGATTTCAGTATGCCGTACAATGTAATTTGTTTAGCTTGTACAGCAGTTGCTCTAGCTTTTGGCCCACTTCATAACATTACAACTAAAAGATTAGTTTTGAAACGTGTTGAAATGGATTGGAAGAAGGAATTCTTATCATCTTTATTTAGAAAAATTATGAAACCAAAGAAAAAACCAGAATAAAAAATGCAGTTTACTGTATTTGGTCTTCGAATATATATATATATATAATATATATATATATTATAGCAATATTATTAAATATCTACAATAAAGAACAAAATGATTTTGAAAACAACTTTCATCTCTATTTTATTTTTCCTTTCCTCCATCTTTTCTGTTTCTTTCTTTCTTTTTTTTCCTTTTTTCTTGTTTTCTTTTTTTTTTTTTTGCAATAGTATATAATATATAAAAATGCGCAGGCTTATTTGTTACATGATAAACGCGATTTAAAGTTTTCCGTGAAAGTATCGAGATTTAACTTGTTACTTCTTGACAGTTGAAATATTTTTTTTTCATTTCCTTTTTTTCTTTCTTTTTTTTTGGTTTTTTTTCTTTTTTTTTTTAATAAACAACAATACACTGCAAATAATAGAATGATACATGTAACATTATTTTACATATTTTATAATCGTATAAAATTGAAACAATAAATATTGTAACAAATGTAACGCGCATACGATGAATACCAAGTACCAAATAACCGATGTTTTATGGTGCTGATCTAAGAATCGGGGATAAACTTGTACGTGTACTTAACATTGTACTGTTGTGGTACTTGTTTGTATACATTTTATCGTCGTTGTTTAAAGTATTATCTGACAACCTTTCGCTTTTTTCTTGCGTCGAGCAGATACAAGGTTTTAATTCAAGTTGTGCCGAAGAAAGTTTTTGTAGCAATGATTCTGTTACATTCTCAGACACACGCTTCATGGGATCTTTATTTTCATCCAAGGATGTTGGATTGCATGGCCCCTCTTCCTCATCCGAAGAGCAAAGATTGATCACCGATGGCTTTACGCGCAATGCAGTTTCTTTAATCGATTGAATGACAGTTGTATTATTTTCATCGCAAAGACTTTTACCTTTAATAATGGTGAACTCTCGAGTGTTAATTTCATTACAAACTACCTTTTCATTTTCTATCATCGCGTTCATGTCATTTTCGTCATTTGGAGCTTTACGTTTCGACGAAACATTTGGCCTGGCTTTTTCTTCGTCTTCCGTTATTGTTTCTTTACCATTGATTGAAACATTTCGAATAAGACATCGATATCTTGGTGAATTTCGTTTGAGATCATGTATTTGCTCTTGAGTCAGTCGCTTCACGAGAACAAAAACAGGTCGGCAAACAACGTATAATAATTGCGATTGTATGCTCAACACTAGAAACAAGAAACAATTCTTATATAGAATAAATCTTAAATATAAAATATATTGCGATGTTTACTTTTAAAATGTAAAAGGGAAAACAGAAATGAAGCAGAATGATATTTCTTCGGATCTTCTTCAATGATCGGACACTCACTTGGTTTTTTTTTAACAGAATTTACAAATTTGTATTGATGCACATAATCACATGCTAATTTTTCTCGGTTTGGCTTATACGTGACGATCCATCTATCGTGATTGACGTCCGTTTCCAACCACTTTGGTTTAGACGAACTATTTAAAACAGGAGCAATAAGATGTCTTTCTATCCTTTCTAGCCTTTCTTGTTGCGTTTCCTGTGTCATTGCCTTTGACTTTTTAGCTAATAATATACCAGCAGGAGAAGAAAAAGGAATAGTCGAACATCTCGTAAAATTAATAGATCCACGAACACGGCGAGAAGTGCTTCTAATTATATTATTATTATTTACTGTAGCACCATTGTTAACTTCAATTGTTTTCGTTTCCGATTCCGATTTTATCGAACACAATTGAAAATATTCCAAAAATTGATCTTGCCTTAGTTCAGGCTCTACAATCGGCAAGTCCGGTGTTGTGGGCCGCGAATTACCCCCGTTTTGTTCTTGTTCATAGCATATACGTTCGTGTTCCTACAATATCATACAAAATTATCATTAATTTCACTTATTTATAAATTTATTTGATGTACCTTCATCTTCTCTGGGCATACATATTCGGCATCACAATTGTCACATAAATAAATATCTTCTGTTGGTGCATGCTCAACCATCATAATGGAATGCTGTTGCTGTTTCGATTTATTAGAATAGGACGAAATTACTCCACTACAAGATAATAATTTTTTTCGTGGACTTCCACATCTTCTGTCATAAGTCTATAAATAAAATGAATTATTTCTCTTTTACATACTACAAAACTTTTGTATGCTACAAACTAGCGCAAGCTACAAAAATACACTAACTAACCATATTTTCATTTCGAAATGTTACTAATAATTTTCCTGTATTCTTGTGATATAAACTTGTTGTAGAATCCCAATTGTTAACATATTCCAAATCTTCTTGCGGATATCGTGCAAGATATGAGCAAAAGCGTAAAAGATATTCACTTCTGTGATATGTATAACATCTGAATACTAATTTCTTCAAATTAGCCATCCAGTTCTAAAATATGATATGCATATTGAAAATTAAACATTTTGCCATTTAGGAACAATTATTTATACTGCTCCATTCTCGCAAGAGCAATTAACTTACATCGTTTACTCTTTTAGGTCTTGTTAGGGGATTTGAAAATTTAACTTCTTTTGGCCACCATCGTGGCTCACTGATCACTTCGGTAGTATCATGACCTAACGAGCACTGAACCATGAATGTGATAAAACGTTCTAACTGTGTCTAAAATTAAACATTTCTTATATTTTTGCATTATTTGTGATTTATTAAAAATATATAATTTCTACTGACTCATGATTATTTAAGAGTCACATTAAATTACTTAAAATATATGGTATTCAAGATTCAAAAACAATATTCTTACCAATGTAATTTTCTCTAACGATGTTGGATGCCCATTGGCAAACAAAAGAGGAAGATTAGATACCACAGAACTTTCTTCCAAAGAACTATTGTTTTTCGATTCTATAGTATCTGTATCAACCATCACAGATTCATTCATTTCCCTGGATAACCGATTTTGAGGTAAAGCTACCCCGTATTCTTGCTCTTGTAACATTGAGTATCTCATGTTTTCAAAGCTATCTGCATTATTCTCATTTAAGGTATATTTTCCATCACAAAACTGTTTGTCAGTTCTGCTTATTCTGTGTACAAAAATATTTTCGTAGATATATTTTGCAAATTAAAATATCAGTGGAGAATTATGATGAAAATAAAATATTCTTCAAATAAACACAAATAAGATAAACAATTGGAGAACAAAAGAAATCATGCTTTGAGTTATTTGTCATTTTTATTATGCAAGCAAATATTACAATTATTTTCTTTAAACTATATCTGAAATGGTGCACAAATTTATATATGAATATCATTGTAAAACACTTGTATCTATCTTTTATTCCTCAAATTATACATAAAATATTGTTACAACTTCATACGTATATTTCTGATTATTTCAAATTGAATATAGAAACTGCAAGGTGAATGAAATGAGCCATTATATGGATCATAATCGTCGTTTACACTTTATTAATACATAATCACTAAATTTTGATCAAAGGTATTATATGAGGATAAAAATAAAACGAAATGAATAGAAAATACATATTGAAAAATATGAAAAATTTAATCAATTTTCCAAAAGGAAAATACGAGTTCGCGGTTAGCAGTCATATACCTGTTCAATACCTTTTGAGATGGTCGGACGACCTTTCTTGCCCCCGTATTTTCAAGCTGATGCTTCCACACGATTAAAAATCTTCTTGATCACCGCTTTGTGAATTATAATTTGTATGAAATTTGAAACACAATTTGTGTTTATAACAAAGTGCTATAATAAAGACACATCTCGTATTACCTTCATAATATTTGTTAACAACTGAGAGAAGCTTAAGAGACAAATGCGGATTTAAATGTGCAACCTACGTGTGTCTATTATGAAAGTTAATTCACTATGTAAATGGTCAAATACGTTGTAGATGGCAAAAACAACGACATCTGAATTCAAAATCTAATCCCTACTTCGTTGAACAGAGGTTCGAAAGTGGAAAGGCACGCGTAATACGAATTCACAGATGTATGTATACATGTACTGACAGTTCCCTCCTTGAACAGAATATTTAGCAACGACAGAGTACGGTATAGTTCAAGATGGCGGGACGAATCAGCTTAATTCTCGCTAGCTAACGATCGTTCACAAAGTACTATACCTTTTACATGATACATCCCTCTTTATAGTTAACACCCCCTATTTCATTATTTCGACTCCCTTTGTGCTGAAGATGACACGATGGCGAGTAAAATTATTCGTCCATTAACAGAAAAACAACGATAACTAAGTTCAAAAGATTTCGAAGTTGTCGAAATTCCTCATTCGTCAGTAGTTCTTCTCTATCAGTTCCGACCAATTCCAACCACTCGCCGTTGCGCGTGCGCCTTACTCGTAAAAGATATTTTTCTATTATCGTTCAGTTTTAATTTCCCTTTTTCGTCAAATACTAATTCAAAGCAAATCGTAAAATCAAAATTTTGTAATTCATTGAAATGTAATCATTTATACTTTACATACCTTTCGACGTTTAAACTCTATGAGAATAATATCCGTTTAAATTTGTAGTTTTTTCGTTTAATCAAATCTACCGATCTGTTTAACGTTTATATTGAAAACTTTAAATAAAAGTATTTTCGAATTGTCATTAGATACGCATGGAAAAAATTCTGTAAAAGTTTTCACGCGTATTTATAATGCAGTATTACTTTTGCGTTTACATTTCTAAATAATATATTAGTGAGGAATAATTCAATGACACTTGATATATGTACAGTGATAAGCAAAAGTACTGGTACAAATCAAATTTGAAAAAAAAAAAAAAAAAAAAAAAAAGAAAAGAAAAAAAAATGCTATTTCTTATTTAATTTTTTTTCAAAATATAATTGTCAAGTTTAAACCTTTATATTTAATTTAGATTTAATCTCGATAGAAATAATAAAAAACACATAAAGGACTGTTTCCCGTGGGACATATGTATAATACGTTCAAAAATATAGTATTTATAGAAAATTCCGAAGGTAAAGTATAATGTTCGCCCAACTGTTATATGCAGCGGAAATACAAAATTCAATTTAACATTCATTTAACAAAGATAATTATTGAAAATAGAGAGAAAACTTATAGAAACAAAAAAACAATAATTTTCGAAAGGAAAATAACATTGAATTTTTTTAAAGAAAGAAAATCTTATTTTACTATATTTAAAATAACTGATAAAGCACGTTTCAAAGTAAGAAGTTTACGATCATTTTTTTCCTATTATTCATCTATTTAATATCTTATAGCGTGTGAAATATTTTACTTTAAACTTAAAAACTATATTTCACAAGAAAATTAAATAAGGAACTGCATTTTTTTTCAATTAATACAAAACCACATGAAATTCTAGCCTATATCAATATTTTTGTTGTACTGTTTGTACATATAATATTTTGCCTTTGTAGATAACCAATCATAATAGCTTTCTTACTTTTGCCGTCACAGCGTTGACATCGGAGCTTAATAATTGTAACTATAAGTTCTGTTATGTGCACATGGTTTCATGTATCTGGTGAATTGTCGAATTAGTAAAATTTGAACGTGAAATATATAATTCATATGTACCTTTGTAGTGAAAGATTTTAATAAAACGATAGCTTAAAGGGAACACGCAATAATGGGTTTGTACAATTTCAAGAAAATCGCGGTTGTTCCCACCGCAAAGGTTAGTAATTACATTTTCTTTTCTCTATTTGCTAATTAATTCCTATCGTTTAATAACTTTTTTGCATTCTTAGGGCTTTATTGATATAATTTTATCAAAAACTCAACGAAAAACTCCAACTGTTGTACACAAGAATTATAAAATTGCGAGAATACGCGCATTTTATATGCGTAAAGTCAAATTCACGCAACAAAACTTTCACGATAGGCTGTCTCAAATTATACAGGATTTTCCTAAGTTGGATGATGTTCATCCATTTTATGCAGATTTAATGAATATCCTATACGACAAAGATCATTATAAATTAGCTCTTGGTCAAATAAATATTGCAAGACAGTTAATCGATAAGTAAGTATCATGAGATATCATTGCTAAGTGATACCCCTTTTCAATACAATTTATATATATATATATATGTGTTTGTGTGCGCGCGCGTGTGTGTGTATATTATATATTTTCACAATAGCGTAGCAAAGGATTATGTTCGCTTAATGAAGTATGGAGATTCTTTGTATCGATGTAAACAATTAAAAAAGGCTGCATTAGGCCGTATGGCAACAATTATGAAGAGACAAGCAGCGAATTTAGCATATTTAGAGCAAGTTCGTCAGCACTTAGCCCGTTTACCTAGCATAGACCCTTATACTCGTACCATAATAATATGCGGCTTTCCAAATGTTGGTAAAAGTAGTTTCATTAATAAGGTAATTTAGTCTCAAGAGTGAACATCAGATTATTTATACGTGTCATAGGAAGAAGCATAAACTGTCTTAGTCAATTCGTTTAGATAACTCGTGCCGATGTTGAAGTTCAACCATATGCATTTACAACAAAGTCACTGTACGTTGGACATACAGATTATAAATATCTAAGATGGCAAGTAATCGATACACCTGGAATTCTAGATCATCCACTAGAAGAAAGAAACGTGATAGAAATGCAAGCAATAACTGCGCTAGCGCATTTACGAGCAGCAGTACTTTACTTTTGCGATGTATCGGAACAATGTGGTCATAGCTTAGAGGAACAGGTGAGGTATCGACTTAACTGAATTTACAGTCTTATTTCAACACAATTCAATAGGTTTACCTTCCAGATGAAACTGTTCGAATCAATTAAACCATTGTTTACCAATAAACCTTTGATGCTTGTGGTAAACAAAGTAGACATCTTACGTTTGGAGGAACTTCCAGTCGAAAAACGCAAAGTTTTCGATTCATTGGCGGATAAAAATATCCCCGTGTTGGAAATGAGTACCATTACAGACTTTGGAGTAATGGACGTGAAGATACGAGCATGTGAACTTCTGTTAGCCTTTCGTGTCGATCAGAAGATAAGAACAAAGAAGGTAATGTAAATACTTTTTAAATAATATTTCTCAAGTATGTTTTGCAGTTTGGAAATGTTCGAATATCAATGTCGATTTGAATATTTGTGATCACAGGTAGAAGGACTGCTTAATCGTTTACATGTTGCGCAACCTATACCGAGAGATGAAAAAGTTCGCCCTCCTTGTATCCCCGAGAGTGTCTTGAAAAAGAAACAAAGCATAGAGGAAGGATCAAAATTGAAGCGAAAATTGGAACGAGAAATAGAAGAGGAAATGGGAGACGACTACGTGCTTGATTTGAAAAAGAATTACGATATTGGGGGCGAACAAAAATACGACGTGATTCCGGAAATTTGGGAAGGGCATAATATCGCTGATTATATCGATCCGGAAATATTCGATGTTTGTATTCACTATTCGTCACTTGCAAAATAAGTGGCATAATACGTTACTTTCATAATTTGAAATTTTTTCTTCTTTTTACTTTCGTTGATTAGAAATTAAATCAATTGGAGAGAGAGGAACAGCTGCGTGAAGAGGCGGGGATGTACGATTACAAAGTAGCCGAGCTGTCCGAGACGATGCGAGACATTGTACAAATGGCTAAGCAAATTCGAGAAAAGAAAGCTATTATGAAGGATGAGGCCCGTATACAGAAAGCTTCTACGAAGCCTGTAATGCCACGTACAGCCGCGGTTAAACTTCGTGACAGATCGGTATCAAAACTAAAAGAACAAATGGAAGATTTGGGTATCGATATGGAAGATACCGAAAACGTGAGTAATGCATTGAAATGTAACCATAAGAAAGACGAGGAATCGCGCGTATAACTTTTCGTTTTGCATAAATCCAACAGGCACATTTCACTAAGACAAGAGGACGTGCAAGATCGTTGTCGCAACCAGCTAGGAAACGCATGAGATTGCAGTCCGAGTCTCGATCAAGAGTGCGAAGCAGTTCGAAACCCGACCGTAACGAAATGGGTGTGAAGGATACGATAATGAAGACGAAATTAAAGAATATCGCGCATAAAGCTTTAAAGAAAAAAATCGCTAAGAAGGGATTGAAGGGAGAAGGAGATCGGTTCATCGGTACGAAAATGCCAAAACATTTGTTCTCGGGAAAACGAGGCGTCGGGAAAACCGACAGAAGATAATAATATTTCGAAATGGTGGTATTTGCAAAAAATTGTATCGAATTTTTATCAAGTCGATACGTGTTCTCACTTATTGCGTGAATAAATCGGCGTTACCTCTCGTAATTACGAGAGTACGAAGGAAATTGAATAAAATGATTGAAAGATAATGCAGCAACATGAATGAATTGTCTCGGATTGCATAATTCGGTCAATGGAGTGATCTTTGGCCTCGTACAGGCTAAGCAACGTCGCGTTCAGCGAAAGTTTATTGCTGTCATACGATGATAACCTCTTATACCCCTTATATATTATTGTATCGAAAAGTTTGCTTTATTCTTATATTTATAATCCTTCCTGTGTAACTGATATCGAATATGTGACATTGTGCAATGTCCACTGTCGCTTCGTATCGTTGTTGCGTTAGAAAAGCGAGTAACTCCGCTGACACTACACTACACCGAATGAAACGGACATACAAGCTGGGAATCGTTGAAAATTATTTCGTCGGATCAAGACAGTTACTATTGATTATTTGGTTATAAATAAGGAATAAAAGTTTATTTTACATCACCGACAGTAGTCGATTAAAAAATACATGTAACACGAAGTTACGATGCCCATTACGGTAAGCAATCTAAAGTGACTGGACGAACGACATACGTTCGCGTTATGATACAAGAATGCATTGAACTTTTAATCAGCAAGATCGATAAAGTTTCGATCATCTTGTTTGTATCGGTGCATTTGTATACGTCAATAACGAAGTAGAAGAATCTACTGATCGATAATGGGATAGTGTACAATCGATAAATGCTTATTTGGTTTGTAGGAGCATTTATAAAATTTTCACAACGCATAAATCTCAACCGTGTTTCAAAATTTCGATCGAATCCTCAAGACAAGGTTTATACGATGTGAATTTCGATATAAGCATACTACGTATCTCAAATTGAATTCTACCTGTTTAATCGGTAAAGAAGCGCGTTCAGTCGATGGTTCATTCGACAAGGTATTAGTAGTAGAAAGTGTAGGAAGTAAATTTATCAGTAAATAGTTATCGTCTCAATATTTGAACGAACAATAAGTTATACGCGATTTTACGCGATCAACCGTTACAATTAAAAGACTCCAGCCAAGAGCAGCACTAATCAAATAATGGAAACGTTGCTGTTTCTGATTGTCTTACTCGGCTTTTCGTCGTCGTATACCCAAATTAACGTATACGCATATTCATCGCGTACACGTTTATAAAAATAGAAAAACCAGTGACACGTGTCGCATATAAGATAGTTGTTGTTATAAGACAAAGATAAAAGGACGATGGGAGGGGGAATGAAAATGGGATAGATGGATAGACGATGGAAATACGAGATAAGAAATATAATTACTACAGGGAGAAACGTCAGATATCTTTTAGTATCACAGTCAATGCGAAACTCTAGACCAGAAGTCTGGACTTTCGACGATTTCTCAATTCGATTCGATTCGATTCGATTCGATTCGATTCGATTCGATTCGATTCGATTCGATTCGATTCGATTTGAGTCGAGCCGAGCCGAGCCGAGCCGAGTCGAGCCGAGTCGAGTCGAGTCGAGTCGAGTCGAATCGAATCGAATCGAATCGACCGTTGATCAGCGATACGATCAAATTTTTCATCGTTCGTTTCACCAACGACTTTTTCATCGATCGAAACGTTCTAGAAGAAATATGCCAAGCGGACAAAAGATTGAGCGGGTAAAGAAAGTTTCGCGCGATACGTTAACAACGAGTATTTTCGCTATGTCGCGAAGAACGACGGATAGGTGACACTACCGAACGCTATTCGGACGATTCTTTGGTGAGTCGTCTTCGGCTATGAAAACTCATGTCCTTTTGTGACTCTGTAATCATTATTTTTACAATTTCTGTATTTACCGTTCCGTATGATGGCGTAGTTTTGATAAAACTACGCGCATTTCATCATTCGCTTCGATTCGCTCGCTTGTTCGTTCGTTAGTTCGTTCCTTCGTTCGTTCATTCGTTCGTTCATTCGTTCGTTGGTTCGCACGCTCGCTCGTTCGTTCGTTGTTCGCTCACAGATATATCAACGATTCGTCGATTTATTCACTCGGTTGGTCGCGGTCGTTTATCCGATTTATCCGGAGTAAATTGTCCAAGGAAAGACGAAAGTCTTCTTTTTTTCTTTTCTTTTAGGAACAAGCGCATTCGAGTACTTGAATGTCTTTCCAGTACGAGACTTTCAACTGCGTGGAATCGTTCTCGTCGAAATAAACGATCATCAATTGATCGAGTTTGCTCGGCGCGCAGCATGGCTTAGGCACTTTTTTTCTATCTTCCTTCCACAATAAACTCTGCAAAAGGGCATGATGATGAGCCGGATTGTATCTAGGCGGGCATCGTCCTTTACAATATCCGGCGTCGAAAGTCTTAGGGGAAACGATAAATTCGAAACCTTTTAGGTCCTTAAACATAACGGTAAGCTCGTGTCTGCAACACTTTTTACTCTCGCCTTTGCACTTTGTCCTACGACCTTTGTGCAGAGACATGAACTGTTCGGGCGAAGAACGTTTAATTCTGTCACTACTCGGCAAGGAAGAGCCGCTGGTGGTGAAGACATTGAGAACCGGCGAGGAAAAGGTACGTCGCACCGGTTCATCGCCGTCTAGCAAAAATTCCAATTCGAGGCCCAGGTTTTCAAGCGTAGCCTCGAGCCACGAGGAAACGGCTAGAGTGGCATCGAGCTCGAGCCATCTGGAGTTTCGCCAGTCCTGCGTGCGAATTCTTCTTCGATCGATCAACTTTCTCGAACGACGAGACGACACTCTGACGTAGAGCAGAACGTCCAGCTCGGAGCGTTCGATGTACTGGTCGATCGTTGGGCCGTGGAGCAACAGGCGCAAGGTCGCGTGATCCACCGTCGTTCGATCTATATCCTTCTGAGGAATTTCCACGGGGAAGAACAACGAGTGACGATAAGGTTTTTCCCTCTCGGTGGTCTCGGCCAGTTGGTTCGATTCGTTTCCAGGATACGCTGCAACAATCACGATAAACACGAACAATTCAGTAGGCGCGTAACGTTACGTAAACGAAAACCTTGAATCATCGTCTTTGACGATACTTTCTCGCAATGCTCCCTCTCCGCGCGATAATCGCATTGCTAAAACCGGCGTAGAATCTAACCCCACCTATATGGAGTCTAATCCATCCTATCGGTCTGGTTTCTCGGCTTTCTCGTGCGTTTTTATTGCCTCGCGATGAACGGCGGGAATGGAGTGGAAAACGGATCGGAACGGACGTCCGTTTCGTGGCTCGTTGGCTTCGACGGTGGACGGACACGGTCGACTCGGCTAGTACCGTGAAAATAGCGTATGAGAATGAATGCGTCCACGCGTATCCGGTTGGAGATGACGAGAACGACCATTCCCGTCCGTTCCATTTTCATTGGTTAATTAGTCGAATTATCAAATTCCAGGGTAATTCGTTAATAAGAGTACGCGCGAGACCCTAACTCGTTTCGCTCCTTTTCCGCTCCTTCGCTCATCGTTTCGCTATCGTTCCTTCTTCGTTTCGTCGATGCATCAATCGTGTTTCGATCCTCGATTAGCATATTCTCTCTCGGTTCATTATCGCGACGTTCTTCGGGGCGAGTTGACAGACGATAATCGAGAAGGGAAAGAAAAAAAAGATAGACACGACACTGCTTGTTCGGTCTATTCGGTCCAATTCCAATGGGAATATCGACAGTTTTAGTAAACTAAAAGACTGTGCTGCTAGTAGCGCGTAACGCAACACCGAGGGATTAGCGTGGCATGGTCGTCTGCATCGGTCCGTCCGCTCGGTAGCAGCGGTCGTAAAGTATCGTGTAATACGAAGCTCGCGTTACAGATCCTACGACATAAATCTGTCAGGAATAATCGTAAAAATACTAGGAAACACCGCGGAGAAAGTTATCTCGGTACTGGAACTGCGGCGGCGGCGGCGGCGGCGGCGGCGGCGGCGGCGGCGACGACGATATCCAACGTTCGAGAATTTAAACGTTATCTCGGCCCGAAAGCATTCACGCTGGCGAACGATTCGAGATAGACCGTTTAACGTTTCAATATTTTCAGGCGTTACGATGGCAGGAAGAAGAAGAAGAAGAAGAAAGAGAAGAAAGTGGTTTCTTGGCGGTGAAGGAAGACGACGGTGAGAAGAATCGTAGGAATGTTGGATACGTGGAAAAGGGAAAAAGGCAGTTGACGAATCAGAAGCGATCGTGAAACAACTCGAGAAGAAATTGGCGAAAAATCGTGGATATTTTGGTATTTTGGTATTTTAGCGCGCGCGCCTTTTAGCTCTCGTCATGGAACGGAAATTCGGAACGATTTCCTCGAAAGCATCTCGGCTACTCATACCAATTATAGGTTACCTTGCACCGCGTTGCCGTCAGAAATATTTTCAGCCGTTGAGTTAGCAAACTTACATCAAGTTACATATTTCCTACGAAAGTGTTTAACGATATTTCTGGTTAGTTTTCATAGTATAGACACGAGGCCAGCACAACTGAGGCTCGTGTCGAAAACGATAACGAGCGGACCGTGGGTCGTACGAATGCCGGCGCTTTGCGATCGCGCATCGAAAGCCGCGCGCGAGAGACGTCGAGAAATTGATCTTCCTCGACGATTCGTTCTTATTGCGTTCGAGAACTCGTTACGCGGCGGTCGGAATTTCTCTTTCATAATAACGCGGACGCGCCACGGGAGAAGAAGAGAAGAAGAGAAGAAGAGAAGAAGAGAAGGCAAAAACGTGGAAGGAGTGAATGGAACAGGAAATAATGGCAAATCGAGTAGGTCCGATTCGACAGGTTTGTAGCGAAGGGTTTCGTTCGAATGGAAAGTGCGACGAAAAGATAGTTACGATAGGAAGAAAAAGGGTTTAACGAGAAAGAGAGGATAGGGAAGTTTAGCGCGATGCGCATCGATTCCAGATACTCGTGGCAAAATCTCGCGAACGTTGCCCGACTGGCGGAAACTGGAAGGCTAGATGTTTACACGAGTAGTAATTATAGCGTGCGTATGTATATTTTTTCAGAAAGTTTGTACGAAATTTCGCGTTTTCGAAGATCGTCGGTGTTCTCGAACCGATAGCGAAGCACAAAGGAGAGGTATAGAACGTCTGGGCACGCGACGAAACATGATGGATTACCTGTAGCGGGAAACACGTACAGCTTCTTCTCTCCGTGGAAAGTTTGCTCGCCGAACGACGGCTGCATTCTCGTTAGGTACTCTCTGTGTGCCCTCTCGTATTCGGCTTGACTGACGTTAGCCTGGAAAAAAGAAGAAAAAGAAAAGATGCGTGGATATATCGAGGATCGAGGAAGAGATGGAAGAGAAAATTTCGACTACTGTCGGTGAAAAAGTTACTCGAGCTCTTGGCTCGTTCGTCAATCCGATCCTCGACGACCTTTCTTCGCTTCGCCTTTCTCTTCTCGCCACTCGCCACTCGCCACTCGCCACTCGCCACTCGCCACTCGCCACTCGCCACTCGTTATTCGCCATTCACCGCGGATCGCTACTCGCCACTCGCCACTCGCTACTATGCATCGTCTCTGCTTGTTGCTCGCTGATCCCGCTTACTTTCATTTTTTTCCTATTTTCTTCGGCTCCCTTTGTGTCGCGTGTTCGAGAATCGTTGTAATTTTCGAGTCGTACTCTCGGAATCTCGACCCCCGTTACTTTATTCCCTTTAACCCCGCCGTCGCGATGTCGGTAATTCCGATGGTCGGTGAGAAAGTCCAGACACGCTAGACATTTCCGGTAAAATTAACCGGTTCGCGGTCTTTTAGCTACTCGCGGCATAGGTTAACGTGGCGATAAAAAAGATTTCGATAGGTGGTTTGAATGGACGGTATATAAAAAAGTGGATCGGGCAGGATGGAAGAAAAGAAGGCTACGTATATGGACGTAGCGCGTATACTGGAAGAAGGATCGCGTAGACTGGAAGGGAAAGATGAGTCAGCGAACCGTAGGAGCGCCACGCGCAACGAAGAGACAGACGGACGCCTCCGCGAGTGGTCGAATATACAGGCTCGTTTAACTGACCGTCCTTCTGTTTAAAGTCGGGGTTAGTTAGCCGATTGGAGCCAGTTCCGGTTAGTCGAGACGATTGAGCGGGGCAGAGGACGGATCGCGTGGAGCTCGAAAACGTTGCAAAGTCGTTGGAAATTGGACGAGACGAGCGGACGAGACCTCGGCAATGCGTACACGCGTATATTACGTTTGACCGATTGTCCGTGAAAAGGGACTACACGCGTGGCGAATGGCAAATCGATCGAGTGACGCGGTTTCTGCTCGCCGCCCATTGAAACCGAGATGTCGTTTGCCGACCCCAAGCGAGTTGACTCGCGCGCGACCGCTTGACCGGTTCGAAAGGTCGGTCAGTGTCGGTCATTGGTGTCGCGTTCGTTGGTCTCGCGACTCGCCAGCCGTTCGCTCGATCATCCCCGCGTTAAACTCAGGCAGAGAGGAAAAGTAGGAAAGTAGAGCGAGAAAGCGTTTCCTTTTCGGACAATGAAGGCGGATCTTTTTCGGCAAAGCGATCGACGAATCGAACGAGAGATAAGGTAAAGTTAGGAGCAACGAAACGATCGGATAAGACGCGTGCATCGAAGACACTGGTAATGATGTTGGGTTACGTTGCCGCGAATGCAGACGACCTTGAAGAAAGGCTGGTACAAGCGCGTATACACGCTCTCGTTTACCTCCCACGCTACGTAGCGAAGAAAGATCTTTCGCAAGCGGCGTACATCGCGTCTAGGTGTATATAAATCGTGAACGAATCGGGTCGCATTCTTCGCGTAATCCTCCTGCCCCTGCCACCGTTCCTGCGATCGCCACTGCCTCGCGGGCTACTCGACGAAACGCGTACGACGGGAATACGCGCGCATCATCACGCGTGATCGCGCGTTCGAAATTTCAACGTTTCGCTCGATCGCGCTTTCTCTCTTCCCATGCGTGTCATCGGATCACCACGATGAATTTCGCCGTTCCTTGGAGATGGACGATCGTTTATCGTGGCGAAAGTCGCGAAAGGTAACGCGACAACGGGTCGCAGAGCGAAACGCTTGGAAAGCTTTCGCGTTTGCGAATCGATCGCAACAAACGGACAAGATACCGTCGTTTGACACACGCGTCCTCTTGGTTCTCGTCTCGCCGTCTCGTCGTCTCGTCTCGTCGCGTCGCCTGCTCTCGTCACCCGACGAGTCGCGGCGAGTAGCGTCTCTCTCTCTCTCTGGTGGAAAACCGACGATACCAGGTGTATAAATGCAGACGACGGAGGAGTACGCGTAGAGAGTACGGCGGATCGTTGAACGAGGCTCGAAGGAAGGAGAACGGCGCGTATGTTTGTGCGGACACGTAACCAGAAAAGCAGAAAAGCACAGAGATAACTGGTTCTATCTCCCCTTCGGCATTAGAGGCAACGTAGGTGCGTTCGAGGCTCGCGGTATACTCTCTCGCGTTTCTCGCCGATGTGTCCTCGAGTTTCGAGGACGGCTGAGAAACGACGTATCGTTATCTCGCGCGTATACGCGTGCACGCCTAACGGCCACGCTGTCGGCTATAAAAGCCGCGACAACAGGTGTTCTCGCGATTCCGCTAGCATCTTCTCCCGCTCTCGCGTCCTTTCCAACATCCGCAATGACGACCAACCAGACACACCTCCTCCTTCTCCTTTCATCATCCTCGTCCACCGAATCCAGCCTTTCTACCTGTTACCGACCACAACGCGCCGTTACCATCGTCTCGTCTGTGTCCATCCGAGTAACCACCACCGGATTTCACCGATCGCTCGGGAATTCCCGAGGACCGAACGGCGAACGTAACACGCGTTCGCGTAACGCTCCAAATTTGGGTCGATCTCGTCCTCTCCGCGTCTCGCCAACTCTAATCTTCCTTTTGACCGCGTTTCTATTTCCGTCTCTGCGCGATACGAATTTTAATCGATTCCATGCACTCCGCTCTAATCTTATCCCGATCCCATCGATCGTCCAACGACCCCGATACGCATCGAGCACGATCGCTAGAGAGGGAAAGAAGAAAGAGAAACGCAAGGAAAAAAGAAACAAAGCGAGCGAGAAGAGTAATAACGGCAGCGTTCTCGTCGTACGCACGTGGACAGCCGGTTCTGCATACTAGGAGGAATGCGCACGTGCTCATGCATACGTAGCGAAAGTGGGGCAACGCGGACCACCCACGTTCTTCGTCTTCGACTCGCCGTTGTTTACGTATACGTGCCACTTGCACCATACCCGTTCTCGCGATTTCTTCCACATCCTTTCGCCGTTCGATACGACTCGTTTCTCTTCCACTCCTTTCCCTCCTTTTCTTTTCCCTTCCCTTTCCTTCCCTTCCCTTCCCTTCCCTTCCCATCCCTTCCCTTCCCATCCCTTCCCTACCCTTTCCTTCTTTCCTTTCCTTTCCTTTCCTTTCCTTTCCTTTCCCTTCCCTTCCCTTCCCTTCCCTTCCCTTCCCTTCTCTTTCCCGCCCTTTCCTCAGTCCCACGAATCTTCCCTTCTCTTCGCTCCTTTTCGCTTCTCTTCATGGCCTGCCCTTACCTTCACATCCCTTCCCCCCTTCGTCTCTGCGCCGATCAACAGCCCTTCCCTCCTTTTCTTTCTTATTAGTTGTACTCCACCTTCCTTCCCCCCCCCCCTCGCGCTTTTGCTCTCTTACTCGCTTTACCCTATTGGTCCTTTTTTCCTTTTCTCTCGTCGTTTGTTACCCTCATCGAAACTCGGCTGCCGCGGTTAACGCTATCGTCGCTATTCTCATCGTGCGTGCACAGTCATCGGTCAAACTTTTCCATCCGATTCTCTCTACCTTTTCTAACGCGTGCATTCTTTTACCCGCCGCTCTCGCCCCGATCGAACCTTTTACCGTTTAGAGTCGATCGATTCGTCGATCACCGATAAACGCGGAGATACGTATGTACAACGACATGGCGATGGAAAAGGAGCGAGAAAGGGAATAAAGAGAAGGAAGGAAAAGAGGAAAGCGCAACCACTCACCTTGGAAGGGTCGGGTATCCTCTTGAGGCCGAGACTTCGCGCGATGCTCCTTCTGATAATATCCAGTTCGGTCTCGTTGAGAATGGTCCCCGTCGTCGGTCGATCCTCTTCTCGGAAAGCGTCCTCGTAGACGTCCTCGAGACCGGTCGAGCGGTCGAGGTCGTGCCGAGGACCGGTTCGAGAGAGCGGATTCTCCCGCGACAACATCGGCACGGCCGACGCGGCTGGCACGCAAAGCGCCACCGCCACTGCCGTTGCAACAACCGCCACGATCGTTGCTATTCCGATCACGCGAGAAAAACCCTCGTTTCTCTTCGGTCTGTAATGTCCAACGCATCGTCTACGATCCTCCTTATCGTTATTACTATTCTTCTTCTTCTTCTTCTTCTTCTTCTTCTTCTT